AATGGGGGCTAAAAAATGCTTATGAATAACTTATCCATTTTTGATACTCATTGCCATTTGGCTGATAAAGAATACCAACAACAAAGCCGGACTATCCGAGAAATAATTCAAGCTGCTGCTACAGTGGGTGTGAAATGTATTTTAAATGTAGGTTACGACAAGTCCAGCAATCAAAAAATAATAGAACAGTTAAAAGAGTTTGCTAACTTGTATGGAGCCTTAGGTTTGCATCCGAACAGCAATGAGGACTTGACAGAAGAAAATTTAAGTTGAATAGAACGGCAACTGGTTCACCAAAAAATTATCGCCATTGGAGAAATTGGTCTTGATTTTTATCGCATTTTTACGGATATTGACAAACAAAAATATTGATTTAAAAGACAATTAAAACTGGCTAAAAAATATAATTTGCCTGTTCTATTACACATCCGCGAGGCTTTTGCTGACGCCTACGAAATGGTGAAAGAAAGTGGAATAAAAAAAGGCATACTTCATTGTTTTACTGGTAATTGGGAAATAGCCGAAAAGTTCATTAATTTAGGTTTTTATGTTTCTTTTGCGGGCAACATTACTTATAAAACTGCTAAATGGCAAGAGAGGTGGAAAGAAGTAATAGAAAAAATTCCTCTGGAAAGAATAGTCGTAGAAACCGATGCTCCTTATTTAACACCTGAACCCTTTCGGGGACAAATAAATTATCCGCAAAATATAATTCATACTTTAACCAAAATTGCTGAAATCAAAAAAATGGACATAAAAGTGGTGGCAGAGAAAATTTACTTGAATACTTTAAGGGTGCTGGGAATAAATCTGCCAAAATAAATTACCTACTTTGACTATTCCAAATACAATTTGTTGGAACTTCTATGAACGAATGATATCCTTCTTGAATATTAATATTGACAAAATTATTGTCAAGTAAATAAATTTTGGTGATTATATACAAAATTAAACTACTTTCTTTTTCCATTCCTTTTTCTAGGTGGAGTATTTAACAAGATTTCTACCATTTTATCAAACTCCTTCTGACTTACTGATTGATTTTTACATTCGGAGCAATGACTTAACTTTCCATTGTGCTTATGTGCCATATACCCCCCTTTATAGTGAATTGCTTCTTCCTTTATGAAAGTTTCTAATTCTTGGTCGTGTTCTAATTTTGGCGAACTAACTTTCACAGTCTCTTCCCCTCCATGGATTTCCAACTTAATTTTTTCTTTTTTAGTCATAACGATTATTATACTATATTTTAGAGTTTTTAAATTGATTACGCTATTTAATACGGTTTTATAAATAAAACTAATTAAATGTATAATCAAACAAGAACAAGTCT